CACTTACTTGAGAATTACTTTATTAAAAATAAAATTACACTGAAGAAGAGTCTGACATAATTTTTAGAACTAAAGACATTTTCAGCTTTCAGAAATAGCCATTCACTTACATAAACATACATTTTTCAATAAGGCATTTGAGATGCTTCCTTTGCTAAGAAAAAAAGGAAGGGGAAGGATACATTTACAAATAGAAACTAAATCTGCTACCACTTTATAGTTTACCAAAGGTGGCAACACATTTTTAAAACCACAAACATTTCGTTGCTTTTAATGCTATTGTTCAGCTACTTTCATGGCATCCTGTGAAAATTTCAGTGCATCTGGAAGGCATGAAAGGCAGGTCTGCACTGTTATTCCCAACAGCACCTTGCATCCTGGCAGACACTGACAGGGTTGCAACTTCACATCAGTATTTTTAGCTTGTCACACTACGCAGCATTTGATTATAGGTATCATCAAAAACCGCATCTCAAAGTACTATTTGTAGAAGGATAATTTTCCAAGGATAGTTTTCAAAGGTGACATTTTAAACTAAACCCAGCAGGCAAAACAAGCACAAATATGTACAATTCCACATACTGGGGAATTATGTGAATTGTGTCTTCTTTGGAATCTGTAAAAAAAAAAAAAAAAACAAAACAAAACAAAAAAACAAAAAACAAAAAAAAACCAAAACCCAAAAACCAAAAAAACCACCCCAAACCAAAAACTAAAGTGCTTTTCAAATGTGTCCTCCTTGATTAAAAGGACAGGTATTTTATATAAGTCATCAGTTGCACACCAACATTATGTTGCTTAAAGAGACATTTCAATAGAAAGATAAATATTATCAACACTTAATTTTGGCTTTGTAATTAAGCATATATAATTTTAAGAATTTCCAGTCAAAAATCCCAACTATACAGAACCTATGTATTCAATGGAAAAGACAAAGTTAAAGAAATAAACACTTATTTTTCCAATACTCTCAGCTTTTAGTGCAAGCTTAGTAGCATTGGTGCCAAAGTCAACTTTTTATTGTGCTATGGGGTTTTAAAAAAAAATCATACAAAGAAAACATTTAACATGAACATGGGCTAACCTAAAGTCAAAAGTTAGCCTATATAAGAACTGGAAGTTCTCAAACAGTAGGACACCTGACCAACCAAATATAAAATTCCAAAATTAAGCCACTGTGTTATGCAAAACAGCTAACAGAAAACCTTAATTTAAATCTTACCGTCTTTCCTAGGCACTAGCTGGCTTTTAAAACTCCAAGGTAAAAAGTGACAAAACCAGAAGTTAATTTAAAGCTGAAAAGTTGACTCTTCTTTTACAAGTTAGGTTTAGTTTCTGCTATGTAATACCCAATTCCACTTTACAGTCAATTTTACATCCCAGTCTTTTGTAAACTTGACAGAGGAGGACTGCTAGTGTTTTCTAGATGTCCGATGAGGGGGGGAAAAAAAAAACACCTTAGAAGAGTACATATGTACTTATTTAATCTGATTAAAAAATATGCTAGACCAAAAGGTGTATAAAGAGATTTAAGGATGATTAAGAACAATTATTTAAAAGTTAATTGTTACATGTCCTCCAAAAGATCACTTTTTACGTTTGAGTGATTTTTCAAATAAAAGGCAGTCAACTTTTATTTGACTGCCCCCTTCCACAACACCTAACAACAGGCAATTGCTTTGATAGTGGTAAACAGCATTAAAATTTTCCATGTGAAAAGAGTAAGGTATGGACACACTAATACTGTATGAACTACAGATCTTTTTACTCCATACGGAAGGTAACAAAGAGAAAGCCTTTATACTCAAACCTCAAGTCTGTCAGATTCCTCATGTTCCATGCCTAACTGTGTGAGACCTGCATCTGTAGTGCCTATCGATGCCATGTTTGAAGTAAGACTCCCATTCCCAAAGCCAAACAGGTTGTGGCAGCACAGACCACAGTGCCTGTAAAATGAAAAACCTGAGTGCAAGCCTCAGCGTCAGGATTATGCACAGAGTTCTCCCCGATGAGCGGGCTGCTGGTCTTGTCCAGGCTGCGGCCAGAGAGCAAGATGCCACTGCCAACGTGGGGGAAACGGCGAATGCAAAGCAGCAGCACAGATGTTGTCTTGAATATCTGCTTGGAACCAGAGAGAACAGACTTCTGCGGTTTCTTGTGAGAGAAATCTGCTCTCATTTACATTCTGAGATAAAACATCCGCATCCAGACACTGTGCACTCCTTTCACATTAAGAACGTGGTATATTCAAGGATTCACTTGGCCTCCAAGCCTGGGTTTTTAGAGTTGGTATCTGCTTGTTTATAGTGAGCCCTGATAGTCAAGAATGTTTAGATCCAGGAATCCAGACTGATTCGATCCAATCTACACCTATGAGTTACTTGCAAGAAAGAATCCTCCAAGGTTAAAAGCAGTGTTATTTAGTAATTTCCAAAAAGTATTTGTCATTATTTAAGCTCAGTTATGTTTTGGGGTTTTTTTACACAGAAAATACTAATACCCTCTCATTCATTCACTCTTTTGGTATGAGATCATGTCCTTCACTCATTTGGTAAATTAAATGTTTATGTATTGCTTTTACTAAAAAACAAATTACTATTTGCTAAAACATTAGCAGATGTTTTGGACCATTCTCCCGTAATTAATATTTGACAAACTGACAGTTATAGCTTATAGACAGTTAAGCCCAGTGAGTTTTGGTATCAAATTGCAAACTGTGCTGTCAGTTCATCTGTGGAATGCAACAGCTGACCAAAAGAACCAAAAAAACCCCCCCAAAACCTCCCCCCAAAAAAATCTCTTTCCAGAAGTGTAAATGGATCATTCTCACCGACTTTGAAAGCTTATGCAGTTAGTGTTTTTCTGGAGAGAAAGTAATAAAATAAGCTGGAAACAAAATAAAGCTGGATTTTAAAAGTGCAGTATTTCTTTGCTTAATCTTTTTTGATGTTGTATCATTTCTTCAAAGCTATTATATTGAATGGACATGGCGCTAAAGTTAGACCAAACCTTCCCTCCATGGATGGCTTTGCAGCATTTTCAGGATACAAAAAGGTAAAACTTTGCATTAGACTTGTAAAAATTAAGAACAGCTCCATTTTTGCCAACTGCTCTCCCATGCACACGCGTTTACCTACAGAACAGTTAGAAGAGAGAATTACTGGTTTTGTACTGTCGATCCATTTGTTAACACACATGCAATTCCTACGCTGGCACAGTCCGGACACAGAAAGGCTCAAGCTACTATTAAGCTATGAACTCCGAAGCTTTGGTCTCCTGCATTTGAGTCTGAGCCTTGCTCAGCTGTACTGCTGCACATTAGCAGCATTTACATCCACAGCACAAGTATTGTCAAAGGACAATTCATAATTTCTCACTTCTGCCTGGCAACTGCAGACTTTAGGAACCCAACCCATTTTGCAAGCCACCAACTGTAATAAAACAAGTTCTGTAGTTGGTCCTATGCACAACTTTCACATCTCACACCTCCAAGGTCCTACACTTGAAACACCACCACCCTCCCAAACAGCTACTGACCACATGTGAATATCTTACCCATTCCAAAAGGAATGAATGTCTCTTTCTTAATTAGCTGGCCATTTTCATCCAGAAATCTTGATGGCTGAAATTCATCTGGTTTCTCCCAAATGTTAGGATCTCTGTGTACTGACCACAAGTTGGGCACGATCACACTGCCCTTAGGAATAGTATATCCCTGCAGCACTTTAACCAAAAGCACAGAGACAGAAGATCTGAGAAGTTGCTAGAAGTAAACATGGCAGACTTACACTTACTAAAAAGATTACTAGAAGATGTCACACTAATTATATGGATCCCTAACTGTGGGCTGCAAATGTAGCAGGAGCTTAAGGCAAAGATGATCTCTGACGGCTTGCCTGGCTCAGAATCACACAGGCCAGAGCAGCTGGTAAGACATCAAATTACACCAACAGCTCCCTGCGAGGAACAGACAGCAGCAGTTTTTGGAAATGCACTCTGCTGCACGGAAGTGCTGTGACCCAGATTCCTCCTGTTCCTGTGCTGTCAGAGCCCCACCACAGTGAAGGTGGAGGTAAGGAAGAGGAATGAGTTTTGAATTGTTACCACAAAAAGGTTTAGAAGTGACTAGTCTCATTTCAGCTCGTTGCACCTCACTGTCCTGCAAGTCCAAACATTTAAGAAAGCGTATCGATTCAGCACTGGGTTTGAAAGCCAAGTATTGCTGCTGCCCACTCACTTTCACCAGTGTTCAGCTATGTTTATGAAAACATATAGCCAACAAGATGACTTGAGAAAGGATACTTATTATTGTTTCCTGTAGATGTGGAGCTCAATGGTATAAGCTTTCCAAGCTTTAGCAAACCAATTGCTCCAAATGGATATTTTCAGACCTCTCTGTCAGACAGCTGTTTCAGGTACAAAGGTGGAGTTTCAGCTGCCAACAACCACTAAGTGCATCAGTCAACACTGACTCCCAGAGAAGAAAACACTCTAAATTAGACAACTTCTGGATGTTATGTCAGACATGCTGCCTAAATACAGGAGCATCTCAAGCCCATGTACTCTCTATAAATGGCATTTTACATATTGGGGTTACATTCCTGACACATAAATAAGGCCTTTGTAAATTCTCACTAGATAGCCCATCAGATCTTCATCCACAAAAGAAATGCTGTATTAACAAGTCTCTACAAATGCTTACCAGCAGCTTCTGAGGCCATTCGAGGAATAGAAAGGGGAACAACCGCAGTCATCCTCTGCACTTCCATAATGGTTGCCTCTGTGAAGGGCATTTGAGCCTTGTGGGTAAGAGAGGGAACTTTGTCACGTCCTAGAACTGCTTCAATTTCTGCATGAACCTTCTCTATTCAAAGGGAGGGAGAAAAATAAAAAAAAAAAAAGCACAATACGTGAGAAGACATCATCTCCATTTCATTTGCCTGTGCTTCATTGTTTACATAGATATGTCCAAAAATACTGCAACACATGTGATCTCTAGCTGAAATAACTGCACCAACATAAGACTTAAGAACAGACTCGGTTAAGGAGAAAACAACCAAGCACAATCTTGACAACTGTCAAGAGTAAAGCTATTGAGAAGACAGATATTGCTAGCACTTCTGTACTGGAAAAGTACAGGAAAAGTTCTGTTCTAGCTTCAAATGTATTCATAATCTTAGGTTAAGAGTTTAACTATGCATTAATTTGAATGGTGAAAACATCAAGCTTCTGGTCTTGCATTAAAAAAAAAAAAAAAGAACAAAAAGAGACTGCAGGCAGCGTGTGCCTGAGCTGGCCTCTGTCCCTGGGGAGATCCAGTTCTGAGAACTGGGAAAGGTGGTGAAGAGGTGGGAAAGCTTTCCATGCAGCTGCTTTAGATACTTCATTCTGGAGCAGAAATTCTGGTGCTGTTACTGCAAGTGTTGAAGCCATTTAATTTGTTCTTGCTGTTTTCTACTTTCTACTTGCAGAACCTTAACTCAGCTATTTCCCAGTTCCCCCAAATGGCAGATGCTCCTTCCCCCACACAGCCCTTCTGCAAAGGAAAAACAGAAGTTAACTAGCTTATCTCTCCTCTCATTCATTTGAGGCACAAAATGCCAAAATATTTTTTTTGCCCCTTTCATCTCACTAAAGGCTCAGCATACAAGTAATTCTCTTCATGGACGTTTTCATGATGCAAGATTTGCTTCGCCCATGTAGACAATGACGCTTTTCTTCCTTGTAACTCAGAATCTGGATACACAGCAAAAGTCACTCTTGAAAGGGAAGACCTTAAAATTAACCTTTAATCAAAAATAATAAAAGTAAGTTTTCATTTTTTACCCTTGATACCCTGAATATTTTGTGGTTGTCCTGCTTCCCTTTTCCAAGATTCAGAATCCAAGCTGCTGATACTCTGAGGTTTTGCTCTTTTGTCCCCTTAGCACTGATTCAAGACTAAATAAAAGTTCAATGCAAAAAAGTTTGAGTTTTCAGAGCAGCATTCAGAAATGCCATACCGACTGTGTTCCATGAACAGTTGCTGCCACCTACCGGGTTTGCCAGGAAAACAAGTTCTCAATGCGGAAGGCAGTAAAAAAATACCTCGACAGCAAGAGACCTGCCAATGGTGTAGCTCTCAAGTACCTGCTTCGTAGTGCTTTGCTACCCTTTTTTTTTTAATGATACATTATATCCCTGTATTCAGGTATGCAAGTCCACGGTGATTTGTTTAAATTGTTTTTTAAATTTAAAATTTTTACTTGTTTAAGTAAATTCTTCAATATTTAAATAATAATAATAATTAAGGAGACTGTCTCATGCCAAATGTCACACCAGTATTTTACTCTGAACAACACTTCTTAGGAGTTTGCAAAGATATATGGAACTATACCGAAAGCAGACAAACTGCTGCTTACACCACCAGCTGCAAAAATGGAGACTTCAGGAGTTCTCCACTAACAGCATGTCACTCAAACTGCTCCACTACATTTCATGTATTTAAAAATCTCACAGATCTTCAGACGTCAAGGACCAAAATCAAGTCAGGGAACAAACCAAATACTCCCCACTGTCTCCCTGTTTGCATCCACACACACACACATGCACACCAACTATTCTCTTTTTCCATATAAAAAGCAAAACTGGCTTCCACAACAAATACATTCTTTCTGATTTTTTCCTCTGATAGTCCTTCATTTGCCTTTCCAGAAAGTGCCTTCAATATTTGCTACTGCTGAAAGTTACGCAATTCAGGTGTTTGTTTTAGGGGATAATAGAAACCTATTACCAGGGGGAAAATAAATAAATAAATAATAAATAAATAATAATAAAAAAGACCCATACATGACTCCCAGGCAATCAGGATACATAAGGAATGGGATACTAGAAGTAAGAGAATTACATTACATATCTAAGTGACACACTCTGGACTACTGAGCTTATTTATATCATTTGACAACAGCCACAGCATAAGGAAAGAGGAAATTGGAGAGAGGCAATGAAACTGTTAGAGATCAGCAGAAGAGAGAAAACTGACTAGCACATACATGCACAGTACCAGTTAGTAGGGACAGGGGTTAAAAAAAAAAACCAACCCAACAAAACACAAACACAAAACTTCTACATCTCATCTGTGTAATTCGGAACATATCTAACTCATGTAACTGCGTACCAGGTCAAGCAGTGATAGTATACAACCATTAAAACAGAAGAATAAGCCTATTCAATAAAGTTTTATTTCACATTTGTCCCTTGTGGACACTCTCTCCCATATACTGAACTGATACCCTATTTTGCAATCTTTGCTCAATAACTTGGTTGACTTTGTGAAATAAACTTTGATCTTGATCTACTGAAAGAGATTATTCCAGACAGACAGGTGCTGTAAACAAGTATCTATTTGCTTATTTCCAAAGCAGCTACAGCACATGAAAACCTCAGAATCTCAAATACTTGATAAAAGTATCCCAGGTTTATATCAATCTTAAATAACTTGAGGTTTACCCTTCTCCACTCCAGTTTGGCAAGAAGTCTGGACAAGGCAGTAGTCTCTTAGGAAAGTGTTTCACTACCATGAACTGAAGTAGAATTACCTCAGTAGAATCTGCCCATCTTGCCAAGGTTTCCAGTCGGCATATACTGGACAATCTTTCTAGTGGAAATCAGTTGCTATGTAGGACTTTAGGAGAAGCTGCTAATAAATTAATAAATCAAATGCTTCATTTTTCTTAAATTTAACCATCTAAATTTGGTAAAGAGTACTAAAAAAAATGCTGGCTTTGCAACCACATGTACTGTAACAAGACTCGGTATAGAGAAACACATAACCAAAATTAATTTTAACTCTTTGGCGATAGGAATTTATCCCAAGAAATCTTGAAAAATAACTCTAGCAAGAATTATTTTAATATTGTAACCTCTCCAACACCACTGGTATTTTTCACATCCATAAAAATCTATAATAAATTTTCTAGAACCCTGTCAGAGAACAACTAGATCATAGCACCATCAAATAATACCAGTTGCAAGGAACCTCTGGAGGTCATATGATCTAAACCCTTACTCAGAACAAAGTCATCTTTCAAGTTAGATCCAACTCTGAGATCAGACTACTCAGGGTCATATCCACTGAGTTTTGAATACTTCCAAAGTCAGAGATTCTGTTAATTCTTGGGGCAATCGGCTGTACTCCCTGCTATCTTCAAATGGATTTTTTTTTTTTCCCAGTATCTGATCAGGATTTTCTTGTTGCAGACCCTCTCTGCTGCTTCTTTTCCTTCCACTGCACACCTCAGAGGAAACTGCCTTCATCTTCTTAGCACCTTCTGATCAGGTAGTTGTAGACAGCATTCCCTCAGTCACCTTTTCCGAGCACTGAACAAGCCCAGCTCCTTCTGCCTCTCCTTTGGGGCTATAAGCTCCACGTGCCTTTGCCCTTGCCCCCCATCATCAGCAGATGCCACGACCGTTCAAGACTGATGGGGAGAGGCCTTGCACTGGCATTGACCAGCTGGCACCACGGACTTGTCTGAGTACAATTTGCTTAAGCTGTCCCCAACTCAGCCTTCCTCTCCAGTGGGTATTGTTTCACTTCTCCAGACCCTGCTGCTAGGCTCAAGAACCTCCCTGCTCAGGGAGGCATAAAAGCAGACCCTACCACTATGTAGCTTGCATGTATCACTACAGCAGGCCTGGAAGGCCACAACTGCCAAAGTTTTTGAAACATGCTAAGCTTCCTTGGAATTGCTTGGTAAAGATAATGTTGCCCCAAAACAGAAGGCAGGCATAGAGTAAAGGGCTATTTATGTAATCAGTATATAGCACTAACCTAGGGATCATCATAGCAGAGCAGAACATACATATCAGCCTTTCAAATTCCATGTACGTGTGTACTATTTGCACTCCAAATGACTTCTCTGCTGTCACTGTTTGCTTCTGTTTCTGAACATTTATCTAGAGCTTTACAGTTTGGAACAAAACACCTAGAATAAAAATAGTCTTACCTTGTACTTCTGGGTAGAGAGACATGTAGAGCAGGCACCACAGTAATGTGTTGGAAGTAGTGTCTGTGCCTGCGATGAAGAGGTCACCAATGATAAAAAACAGGTAGTCTTCAGTAAAACTGCTGTCCTTGTTGTTTTTTTCCTCTTCTGCATGGATGAAGTACATATCAATGAAGTCCCTGGGATTTGCTGCATCAAGTGTATCCCTGTGCTGTGCAATTATTTTCTTTAGAAATGCAGTAATATCTAATTCTGTTTTCCTAAGTTCCCGGAAAGGCCCGAAGGGAAGGTAGTACAGCCAAGGGCAGATGTTGACCAGGATCATATAGCTGTTCACGCTCAGCTCTAGTGCACGGGCCATGTTCTTCAGCATCGTCTTGAACTCATCATCTTCGTAGTTAAAGCGCCTGCCAAAGGCCATGGAACAGATAACATTGGACACTGCGTTGCGAATGATTGGAAAGGGATTAAATGAATCCTTTCCATGCTTCAGCATTTCCTCCTTTATAAACTTCAGCTCCTCAATGATTTTAGGCTCTAGGCTGTGTCTTCCTACTCCAAAATGACGCAGTGTTGAGAGAGAGAATTTCCTCTGCTGCTTCCAGACAGGGCCATAAGGTGCAAAAATAACACCTGTAAGAGAAAGGAGGAGTCTGAAACCAAAATGCTGTTTTGAATAAATAGTTTGACAGGTCTGCAACCCAAGAGCCAGAAGGGAAACAGTACATAGCAAGTCTATCCCAAGCACTGGGCTAGAAGCTAAAGGAACAACACGAGGTTCTTTATAATGGCTTTGGGAAATCCTGTCCCTCCTTTTCCCAATCAGTGAAATGAATATAACAGCTACATCAATGGTTTTATTAGTCTTTGTAGGACACTAATAGATGGAGAAAAGGTACCATAGATGCTTTATTACAAATGATAACAATTTTATAGGAATTGTTAACTCTGGGACATATGTTAGCTACAGACTTTTCTCCTCAAAGTCCTGAGACAAATTCCTTCAGCGAGGCAGAACAGATGACATTAAAACACAAACTGGTTTGCATTTTTTTCCCCCTTCATGTTATACAAACTTCTCAACAGTGTTTGTATGTGTACGTATTTCTATTACAATCAAGGTTTTTCTCTAACTAGAATCAAAATACAGGATATGCATGCTGCAAACAAACTGAGAAGGAGAAGACAAGTTCAGAGCCACTTGGCAAAAACCTACTTGATTTGCATCTTAACAGTTTTGATGCCTCTAGGCACATATTCTGCATGATTGTGCCATTATGAAACACAATTTAAATTCAATCCCTCAGCTTCAAATACAAATATTGCTCACTTAGAAACACCTCTTTTGTTGAACTAACAGACCACACCAGAGAGACCACAGCGCAACAAAATACGCAACCTGCTATTTCTAATGTACTCCACAGTTCACTTGAGGAAGTTTAAAGTCATCAAAACACAGGCTAGTTCTACTTTTGTTCTTCTAGTAAAGTGACACCACATCTGTTTTTTTCCTGGAAAAAAAAAAGCTACTTTATAAAAGCAACATCAATTCTTCTGTCAGCTGCAAATCTTAATGTTAAATGTAAAAGAAAGATAAATGGCCATGAGAAATTAGCAAAAGAAAGATGCACCATGTTTCAATACTTAACGTTACCTACCTTCTATTGCAACTTAATGTTCACAGCCCCTAATGCATAAAGGAGAATAAACAAGTAAGAAAACTATAGCTAGAAACAGAAATCTGTAGATATGTAAGCAAGATAGTTATACTCAGAAGGGTCTGCAATCCCAAAGCTATAAACACTTCACTGTAACATAAAGCTGGTAACCTTTCTAGCCAGATTTTCTGATTACTTTATCTACTCACAGAAGTAATGACAGATCGAAGAATACAAATGCATTATCTAGCTTCAAAAGCCCTAAACAAAACAAGCAGAACATTATAAAAAATCAGAATAAACTGAGAATAATCTGAACTTAATCTTCTCTGCACAAAGACACTCCTTAGGAAGTCCATTCAAATGTCTGCTCCCTGGCACTTTAAAAACAGAACCAAACTTTCTCAAGTAATGTTTTCTGCTAGCACTGGTATCCTCAAGTAGGGCAGGTGAAAAAACAGGCTTGCCTGGGGCTGAATTTGGCCAAGAACCAACTTGGGTTTTCAAGGTTTGTGGCTGGAGTAGAGAAGAACCATGGGTTTCTTAAAACAATATGTTATCATTATTTCTATCCTACAACAAATATCTCCAAAACAGACTATACACCCACAATCTCTTCCCTTTTCTATCATTAGGAAAATTTGCTTTAGTATTCAAATACCTTCATAAAAGATAGACCTATTGTCTTGAATGTAAAGAAGACTCTCCTAGGCACAACAAACCTCCCCGTGCTCAGGGAGTCTCTCTAGCAGTCCTGCACAGGACATGGCTGTGTGGCATGATGTCTTCTGAAGTCCCAAAACCCCAAACTACTGCAGAATACTAATAATTGATTTGCAAACTGGGAAAGAATAACATAGGAGACAGATTAAGGAGGAAGAAGAGCATAGTTAAAATAACAGAGATAAGAGAAGAAAGAAAACTTACACCTGGATCACTGCCTGACAATAATAATGGAATAGTACTTCACTGTTTTCAAAGAAAATCTCTGCATCACCTGAAAAGTCAATGTACCCAGCAGACAACTGTATTCTAAAAAAAAAAACCCAACAAAAAAACCCCAAAACAACCTGAAGAAAATACAATAATAAATTCTGAAGTAACAACAACCCCAGAATAACCAGGACTTCATGCTCATTACAGGTGACTAATTTCTATGACCTGATAAAGAAAACTTTTCAATACAACCAACAAAGGAACAAACACACAGAAAAACAGAAAGATTGTGTTATTCTCCCTTTTTATATGAAAAATTCAAATCCTTATGAGAAAGAGGTTGTGGCAAAGGCTAATTCCCCCTTCCCTCTCGCCCCCCCACCACCAAATTTTTCACTGCTTGCTTTAGTGTTGCTGGAATACCAGGAACATTGACAAACACAGAATTCACAAAAAAACAAACCAAAGAAACCCCAAGCAAAACTCAAAGCTTTCAGAAAACATGTACTGCTCACCTCTTACCCCACGGGTTCTGCAGCAACTGCCTTCCTACAGTAGCACTAATCCAGCATCACTGATGTTCGGTCATCTCCTACATGGTACCGCTAAGCCCAGGCCAGCCCACTGAGAGCAGCTGTGACTTCCAGCAGCTTTTGGAGCACCTCCTTGCGTGGGGACCAGGCAGGCCCACAGTGCCCACATGCACTGGCTTTTTTGTTTGTGTACTCAAAATACACCACCCCTGTGGCTCATTCTATAATACTCTCGCATCTGCGGCATTTCAACTTGTTGCGCCAGCTAACGCAAGCAGCTGAGAACAACTGGGCAACCTTCACACAACAGTCCTCATACCTGAACATCACTGTGGTGATCTTCCAGAGAAAACTAAATGTAAAGCAATGTAATGCCCCTGCTGCAGCACAGCCCAATGCAGACAGGCACGGTCCCTGCGCTTGGCCACAGCACACTCCGGACACTTTCAACTCCCCTGGATCATCCAACCATGGAAGCTGCTAACTTGGTTATCAGACACTGTATTCATGAATTCTTTGTTAAGTATCATGCACTGACTGCCCTGGCTACTCTCGTGTCACTGTGTTCAAAAAAGTTCAACAGAGAAATGTCTGTGGAAAGCATCAAACATACAAAATTCACAGTATTTGAAGAAAAATAAATCCATCATGAGCCTGAACATACAGTTTTACAGCACTGCTAAAACTGATCCAACGTCTAACCACTGTTTCCCTTTCCTCCCCCTACCCTTGCCAAATGTACTGTATCTAAAAATATTCACACACTGTAACAACTACATGCCAGTAAGATCTGTCTCAGAACAATATAATTAATAATTTATTTTTTATCTTTTAAACTCATTACAGCAATGGTACCTCACTGCTTTTTAATAAACATGATCTAGGTCCCTCACTTTCCTCTTATCTTTACTGGGGTAACTCTGGTACAGTAAAAAACTGAAGATAAAAAGTTTCAGGCACTTTACCAATAGATTTCCCTGGCCTCGACTTAAAAAAGATAAACAAGTTTCACAATACAGTTAGTACATTAACAAGCCTCCTGGGCTACAGCTCCTAGACTGAAAAAGAAAGGGTAATTTTCCACAAACATTGAGATCTGTAATGGATCTAAAGACTAAACATGAAGAAATTCTAACTGTGATATTGCCATCATGTGTTTAAACTCTCCATGCCCTTTTTTTGCGCAAGCTAGTAAACTCTCCTTTGACCTATTAAAAAAAACCCTCAAATATGCTCAGTAAATTCTGACAAACAAAATAACACACTTGCAAACATCTCGGCAACAGCAGCTGGCATGCAGGCAGCACAGACTGCGCAGCTATGGGACTCGACAGGAGCCTGCTTTTAGCCATCGTTACCTCGGTAAGAACTGGGGGACGTGCACGATGCCGCACCGCTGCCAAAGCATTCAACATTTCTTTTCCTGATACAGCTAAAGTCAGAAAGCCCCTCGGTGACAGGCTGGCTGTTCCCAAAATCCCTGCACAAACGCCATTCCCGTTACTGCACACAGAGGTGAAGGGACCCGGCACTTCAGTGGCGGGATGCGGGATGCTGTGCCCAGCACTGCACTGCCAAGTTCACAGGGATGCTGCAGGTTCACCCAGGGCAGGGCGAACGTTCCTTCTGTCACCAGCAGGACAAGGGCCACACACGATGAGCAAAAGGCAAGGAGATGGCTCTGTCTGTCGCGCACAACAGTTATTCACAAATTTCGGCAGAGCAGCCACGAAGCCGAGCAGCTCCCCGGCTCGACACCCCC